CGCCCGGCTAGTTTTTTGTATTTTTAGTAGAGACGGGGTTTCACCATGTTAGCCAGGATAGTCTCGATCTCCTGACCTCGTGATCCACCCGCCTCCGCCTCCCAAAGTGCTGGGATTACAGGCTTGAGCAACCGCGCCCGGCCGGTATTTAATTCTTGTTCTGCTTAGTTTAGCAGTTTTATAAACCAGCCTAGGCCGGACGCAGTGGCTCACGCTTGTAATCCCAGCGCTTTGGGAGGCCAAGGCAGGTGGATCACCTGAGGTCAGGAGTTCGAGGCCAGCCTGGCCAACATGGTGAATCCCCATTTCTACTAGAAATACAAAAATTAGCTGGGCGGTAGTGGTGCGCACCTGTAATCCCAGCTACTAGGGAGGCTGAGGACAGAATCGCTTGAGCCTGGGTGGCAGAGGTTGTGGTCCGCTGAGATTGTGCCACTGTGCTCCAGTTTGGGCGACAGAGTGAGACTTTGTCTCAAAAATAAATAAATTAATTAATTAACTAATTAATTAATTAAAAAAAGAGATTTCGATCTGGCCCTGCCTTCCCTGCAGCTGCCCTTTCTCTGCTCCCTGTGCTCAACTCTGAGCTCCACCCACCTTTCAACTCAGCTTTCTTCTGGCCCAGAGCTTTGTGTATGATGGTCTCCTCCCTGGAACACCTTTCTCACTTCTCTCATCCATCCCCTCTTGATTTCTTCTAATTATTTTCTGGCTCTACTCAAACCTCGCTTCTTCCAGGAAGCCTTCTCTGATCGCTTGGCCAACACTCACACCCCACAGTGGACAGCAGGCATCCTGTCATAATAAGTCTTTTTTTTTTTTCTTTTCTGGGACGAAGCCTTGCTCTGTCACCCAGGCTGGAGTGCAGTGGCGTGATCTTGGCTCACCTCTGCCTCCTGGGTTCAAGCAATTCTCCTGCCTTAGCCTCCTGAGTAGCTGGGATTACAGACACATGCCACCACGCCTGGATTTTTTTTTCTTTTTTCTTTTTTTTTTTTTTGAGACAGAATCTCACTCTGTCGCCCAGGCGGGAGTGCAGTGGCCGGATCTCAGCTCACTGCAAGCTCCGCCTCCCGGGTTTACGCCATTCTCCTGCCTCAGCCTCCCGAGTAGCTGGGACTATAGGCGCCCGCCACCTCGCCCATCGATCTCCTGACCTCGTGATCCACCCGCCTCCGCCTCCCAAAGTGCTGGGATTACAGGCTTGAGCCACCGTGCCCGGCCTTTTTTTTTTTTTCAGTAGAGATAGAGTTTCACCATGTTGACCAGGCTGGTCTTGAACTCCTGACCTGGTGATCCACCCACCTTGGCCTCCCAAAGTGCTGGGATTACAGGCAGAAGCCACCATGCCCAGCCCATAATAAATCTTTATGGTGACTTGAAGTTTTCCTTCACAGCACTTTTACAGTTGTGATTATACAGGTATGCGCATGCGCACGTGTGTGCGCACGCACACACTCACACACACACACATTTGAGACAGGGTTTCACGCCTGTTGCCCAGGCTGGAGTGCAGTGGCACAATCACTGCCCACTGCAACCTCTGCCTCCCAGGCCCAAGTGATTCTCCCACCTCAGCCTCCTGAGTATCTGGGACTACAGGTGCATGCCACCATGCCCAGCTAATTTTTGCATTTTTTTGTAAAAACGGGTTTTCACCACGTTGCTCAGGCTTGTCTTCAGCTCCTGAGCTCAAGCAATGTACTCGCCTTGGCCTTCCAAAGTGCTGGAACTACAGGCACGAGCCACCACTCCAGACTGTAATCATATATTTATTTGTATGTTTAATATCTGTTCTTTGAGGCCAGGCCTGGTGCCTCACCCCTGTAATCCCATCAATTTGAAAGGCTGAGGGGAGAGGATCACTTGAACCCGAGAGTTTAACCAGCCTGGGCAACGTGGTGAGACCTTGTCCCTAAAAAAATTAAAAAAATAAAAATTAGCTGGGCTTGGTGGTGCACACCTGTGGTCCTAGCTACTCAGGAGGCTGAGTTGGGAGGATCACTTGAGCCCAAGAAGTGGAGGCTGCCGTGAGCTGTAACTGTGCCACTTCACTCCAGCTTCGGCGACAGAGCAAGACCCTGTCTCGAGAAAAAAAAGAGAAAAAAATCTGTTCTTTGAGGGCAGTTGCTGAGGCTGTCATGGTCACCTTTCTGTTCCCAGGGGCCAGCACAGGATCAGGCACATGGTAGATGTCACATAGCTATTTGTTGAAGAAACAAAAACTAGCATTTATGTTTTATTTTATTATTATTATTTGAAATGGAGTTTTGCTTTTGTTGCCCAGGCTGGAGTGCAATGGCACCATCTCGGCTCACTGCAACCTTTCCCTCCCAGGTTCAAGCAATTCTCCTGCTTCAGCCTCCCGAGTAGCTGGGATTGCAGGCACATGCCAACATGCCTGGCTAATTTTGTATTTTTAGTAGAGACAGGGTTTCTCCATGTTGGTCAGGCTGGTCTGGAACTCCTGACCTCAGGTGATCCACCCACCTCGGCCTCCTAAAATGCTGGGATTACAGGTGTGAGCCATCACGCCCAGCCAAAACTAGCATTTATTGAATGCTTAGTATGTGCTAAACCCAGTTTTAACTGCTTTATGTGATTTGAAATTAACTCACCTAATTAACAGACTATCTACAATAGTAATATGTAATTAACAATAGTAATAGTCTCTAATTAACAATTAGATTATTGTAATGCTACAATGTAGTATCACCTACATTGTAGATAGTCCGATTGTTAACTACTTTGCAGATACAAAAGTGTAACCCCAGGCCAGGTGTGGTGGCTCACACCTGTAATCCCAGCACTTTGGGAGGCCAAGGCGGGCGAATCACGAGGTCAAGAGATCAAGACTATCCTGGTCAACATGGTGAAACCCCATCTTTACTAAAAAATACAAAAACTGGCCAGGTGTGGTGGTGTGCCTGTAATCCCAGCTAATCTGTAGGCTGAGGCAGGAGAATTGCTTGAACCTGGGAGGTGGAGGTTTGAGTGAGCTGAGATCACGCCATTGCACTCCAGCCTGGGCAACAAAAGTGAAGCCAGGATTATGAACCCAGGAATTTTGGTTCCAGAGCCCACAACTTAGCCACTAAACCACACTGCCTTTACGTTATTCCCTTATTAAAACACCTATCACAGTATTTGGCAAAAAGTAGGTGCTCAGTAAATAGGAAGAGCTGTTTATAAGTTATTTATACCATAGAAGTCTGGGATACATCCTGTATTTTATATTATTTTGACCATGTATATTATTTTATTTTGCTTTGTTTTCATTCATTTGTTTTTATTTTATGTTATTTAAAAATTATTTGTATTACTTTTTTGTTTTACAGCAGGTATTTTATAAATGCATTTTTGGTGCTGCAAAGCCATTTCTAACTCTCGGGCCCAGAAAGGATCACCAGTGTCCCTGTCATTCTCCGTTAGAATCTCTATTCGCTACTGAGACGAATTTTTTTTGTTTGTTTGTTTGAGACCAGGTGGAGGGGCGGGGGTTCTCGCTATCTTGCTCAAGCTGATCTCGAACTCCTGGGTTCGATCAATACTCAGACAATCTTGGCAGGCGCAGGAGGACCAAATTCTAGTGAATGAGATCGATTCTCTCGGATCTCTCCCTTCCATGTTTTCTTTTTGATTGGCCCTCGACGATCCTCAGTGACGCCTCCCGCACCGCCTCTCCCGAGAGTCAGCAGCCCTCGCTTTTCCGTGCGCACGCGCAGTATCCCGATTGGCTCTGCCCTAGCGGATTGACGGGCAGATCAGCCAATGGTCTCGTAATATAGGTGGAGCGAGCCCTTGAGGATGTCCACGACCCGGCCTCTCGCTAAATATTCATGAGGGAGGCGGGTGGACGCCACAGCACACTGCGGCCGGCGCCATGAAGTGAGAAGGGGGCCGGAGGGTCGCGGCTCGCTAGCAGGCGCGGGGTGGTCTTGAAGATGGGGTCACCGGTGGGCGCGCCTGGGTCCCCAGTGGGGCCAGGGGAGGGTGAAGGGGTGGGGCGGGGGCAGCCGCAGGGAACAGCGGTGATAGCGAGGAGGCACTGAGGCTCCTGAGGACCTGAGGGTTACCGGGGGCGCCGGGCAGGTCACCCTTCTGGGCCCGACGACCGGGCAGTGTGGAGGCGGGAGAGGGGCTGAGGGGACGGGGACTGACCCAGCAGCCCCTGCCGCCAGGCTCAACGTGGACGGGCTCCTGGTCTACTTCCCTTACGACTACATCTACCCCGAGCAGTTCTCCTACATGCGGGAGCTCAAACGCACGCTGGACGCCAAGGTGGGTGGCCTGTGGGCCCGACCCGCCCACTCGACCGGTGGGGCTGCCACGCCTGGGCCTAAGACAGATTGCAGGACGTCTGGATTTTAGAAGTACGAGGTCCTTGGAAATCCAGGACCCCATAATCTTCCGTTATCTAAAATAATAATGGTGAATAGGCTGGGCGCGGTGGCTCGCGCCTGTAATCCCAGCGCTTTGGGAGGCCGAGGAGGGCGGATCACTTGAGGTCAGGAGATCGAGACCAGCCTGGCCAACGTGGTGAAACCCCGTCTCTTCTAAAAATACAAAAATTAGCCAGGTGTGGTGGCGGGCGCCTGTAATCCCAGCTACTCAGAAGGCTGAGGCAGGAGAATCGCTTGAACCCGAGAAGCGGAGGTTGCAGCTAGCCGAGGTGGCGCCATTGCACTCCAGCCTGGGCGACAGAGTGAGACTCGGTCTCAAAAATAAATAAAATAAAATAATAATGGTCAATAGGCTGGGCGCGGTGGTTCGTGCCTGTAATCCCAGCACTTTGGTGGGAGGTGGAGGCGGGAAGATCACTTGGGGCCAGGTATTGGAGACCAACTTGGGCAACACAGCAAGATCCTATCTCTACGAAAAATTAGAAAATTAGCTGGGTGTGGTGGCGCTTGCCTGTAGTCCCCACTGCTTGGGAGGTTGAGGCAGGAGGATCGCTTGAGGCCAGGAGTTGGAGGCTGCAGTGAGCCATGATTGTGCCGTTGCATTCCAGTCTGGGCAACAGAGTGAGACCTGTCTCTTAAAAAAGAAGGGAGAAAAGTTCACTATATATCAGCTACTATGCTAAATATTTAACGTGCAATTTCTCACTAATCTTCACAGTCATGTTATGAGGAAGGTTTTATTATTAGGCCCATTTTATTTATTTATTTTTGAGACAAAATCACAGGTGCACGCCACCACTTCCGGCTAATTTTTTGTATTTTTAGTAGAGAAGGGGTTTCACCATATTGGCCGGGCTGGTCTCGAACTCCTGACCTCAGGTGATCCACCTGCCTCGACCTCTCAAAGTGCTGGGATTACAGGCGTGAGCCACCATGCCCGGCCTTAGGCCCATTTTAGAGGTAGGGATACTGAGGTCTGGGGAGGTGAAGGTACTCACCTAAGACCACTCAACAAGGAGGAGACAGAAGTGGGTTGAACCCCACTGCCCAGTTTTAACTGCTGCTGTGTTATCCTGCTGTTCCAAGTTGGTGGCATTGGAGGTCAGGGAGAGTCCCCAGAGTTTGTGTGCCCAAGGTTCTGAGACCCTGTGTGTTGTCCCTCTGGTTCCCAACATGCAGGGTCATGGAGTCCTGGAGATGCCCTCAGGCACTGGGAAGACAGTGTCCCTGTTGGCCCTGATCATGGCATACCAGCGGGTGAGTGATGCATTGAACCCGTAAAGGCAGACAAAAGAAGGGACAGGACAGGGACTGAGTCCACTTGTTATCGGCAGGCATATCCGCTGGAGGTGACCAAACTCATCTACTGCTCAAGAACTGTGCCAGAGATTGAGAAGGTGAGCCCGGACTCATCCTGGTGCTCCAGCTCCACTGTTCCCTAGGCCCTATTGGTCCCCCTGGTGGTGGCCATCACCAGCTTTCGGGGGTGTCTGGGAAGCTCGGGAAGAGGCTGGGGCCTGGCAGGGCAGGGGTTTGTGCCTCCAATGAACACAAGCTCCCCCTGCCCCCCCCAACTTTGGAGTAGGTGATCGAAGAGCTTCGAAAGTTGCTCAACTTCTATGAGAAGCAGGAGGGCGAGAAGCTGCCATTTCTGGGGCTGGCTCTGAGCTCCCGCAAAAACTTGTGTATTCACCCTGAGGTGAGCACCCGTCCCTTCTCCTTGCCCTTAGCCCAGAGGTAGAGGAAACTCTTTCGTCCAACTGCAAGTCCTGGATCCCCAGGCTGGACCTCTTGCAAAGGCATGCAGTGGCTGCACACAGAATTCCCATCTCACTGGTCAAATTCTCATTCATCGTGGCCCAGGCAAGCACACCTCCTCAGGGAGTCTTCCAATTCTACCCGGGCCTGGGAGAGGTTAAAAAGGCAGCTCTTAGAGTCTCTGGAAGAGCTGGTTTCCTGGCTCTGAAACTTACCAGCCGGGTATTTATGGAGAGGCGTTTTCTGCTGCCTGGGCCTCAGTCTTCCTTTCTGTAAAATGGGGATAATTATGTGCCTGCCTCATAAGGTCGCTGATGATAAAATTGGATGAAATGATGCAGCCAATGCCCTTAGCATGTACAAAGAACTAAAAGAATGTTAGAAATTCACGGCTGGGCACGGTGGCTCACACCTGTAATCCCAGCACTTTGGGAGGCCGAGGCTGGCGGATCACAAGGTCAGGAGATCGAGACCATCCTGGCTAACATAGTGAAACCCCGTCTCTACTAAAAAGTACAAAAAATTAGCCGGGAATGGTGATGGGCGCCTGTAGTCCCAGCTACTCGGGAGGCTGAGGCAGGAGAATGGCGTGAACTCGGGAGGTGAAGCTTGCAGTGAGCTAAGATCACACCACTGCACTCCAGCCTGGGCGACGGAGCGAGCCTCCGTCTCAAAAAAAAAAAAAAAAAAAAAAAAATTCTCATGATAGGCCGGGTGCGGTGGTTCACACCTATAGTCCCAGCACTTTGGGAGTCTGAGGTGGGCAGATCATTTGAGGTCAGGAGTTCAAGACTATCCTGGCCAACATGGCAAAATCCCGTTTCTACTAAAAATACAAAAATTAGCCGGGGGTGGTGGCGTACATGTCGGTAATCCCAGTCGCTTGTACACGGGAGGCAGAGGTTGCAGTGAGCTGAGGTCACACTACTGCACTCCAGCCTGGGGGACAGAGTGAGACTCTGTCTAAAAAAAAAAAAAAAGAAATTTTCATGATATTTATATACATAATATATGACAAATACAATGTTAATTGTTATTAAATTATGCTATAAAACCATTGTACTTGGCTGGGCATGGTGGCTCACGCCTATAATCCCAGCACTTTGGAAGGCTGATGTTTCACCATGTTGGTCAGGCTGGTCTCTAACTCCTGATCTCATGATCCGCCCACCTCGGCCTCCCAAAGTGCTGGGATTGCAGGCATGAGCCATCGTGCCCAGCCTTATTTATTTATTTTTTTTGAGATGGAGTTTCACTCTTGTTGCCCGGGCTGGAGTGCAGTGGCGTGATCTCGGTTCACTGCAACCTCCACCTCTCAGGTACAAGCGATTCTTCTGCCTCAGCTTCCTGAGTAGCTGGGATTACAGGCGCACTCCACCACGCCCAGCTAGTTTTTTGTATTTTTAATAGAGATGGGTTTCATCATGTTCGCCAGGCTGATCTCAAACTCCCACACTGAGCCCACAGACTATATGTTACACCACATTATTTGTAAGAATATATGAGAAATAATATATCTAGTGGATGACAAAGAGCACAGGCCTCGGTGACTGATGAAAGGGGAAATGGAGAGGGAAGGGCTGGCTGCCTTGGAGCTTTCCCTTTGGTGTAGGAAAAGGATTTGTTCTTGGGAAAGAGCCTTAGGCTGTGATGGTACATTAGAGGGTACAGAGCAGGTCAGGGGTGAGGGGAGTCCCAGACTCTGCAGCATCTCCTTTGATTCTTAGGCCCTGCCAGAGTTCCATATGTTTTGGCATTTCCAAGGATGAAGTAATTATCCTCAATCTATATGCTAAAGATTTTTCAAGGCTTACTGTTTTAAAATATTAGTTTTGGTTGGCTGGGCACAGTGACTCAGCCTGTAATCCCAGCACTTTGGGAGGCTGAGGTGGGAGGATTGCTTGAGGCCAGGAGTTTGAGACCAGCCTGGGCAACATAGCAAGACCTCATCTCGACTAAAAAGACAAAAATTAGCCAGGCATGGTGGCGCACACCTGTGGCCTCAGCTACTTGGGAGGCTGAAGGGGGAAGGATCAGTTGAGCCTGGTAGGTCAAGGATGTAGTAAGCTCTGATTGCGCCACTGCATTCCAGCCTGAGTAGCAGAGGGACCTGTCTCCAACAATATATATGTATAACTTGTAGTTGTAAGAATGTAACAATTTTACTACTCTCTTTTTTTTTTTTTGAGAGAGAGTCTTACTCTGTCGCCCAGGGTGGAGTACAGTGGCATGATCTCGGCTCACTGCAACCTCTGTCTCCTGGGTTCAAGCAATTCTCCTGCCTCAGCCTCCCGAGTAGCTGGGATTCCAGGTGTGCACCACCATGCCTGGCTCATTTTTTTATTTTTATTTTTATTTATTTATTTTTTTGTGATGGAGTCTCGCTCTGTCGCCCAGGCTGGAATGCTGTGGGGTGATCTCGGCTCAGTGCAAACTCCGCCTCCCGGGTACAAGCGATTCTCCTGCCTCAGCCTCCCGAGTAGCTGGGATTACAGGCACGTACTACCACGCCTGGCTAATGTATTTTTAGTGGAGACAGGGTTTCATCATGTTGGCCAGGCTGGTCTAGAACTCCTGACCTCAGGTAATCCGCCCACCTCGACCTCCCAAAGTGCTAGGATTACAGGCGTGAACCATCGCGCCCGGCTAATTTTTAGTAGAGATGGAGTTTCACCATGTTGGCCAGGCTGGTCTCGAACTCCTGACCTCGTGATCTCCCCACCTCGGCCTCACCAAGTGCTGGGATTACAGGCGTGAGCCACCGCACCCAGTCCAGTTTTACTACTCTTATATCCCTGCATTAAGTTCCCATGTGTCTTAACTAATAATGCAACAGACTGAGGTTCAAGTTGTCCAAAACCCCAGGCAACTGGGAGGTGTGGAGACCTGCGTTTGAAGAGTGGTTGGGTTTCCACCCTGTCTGGGTGCTAAGATGCCCCACACCCCCAGGTGACACCCCTGCGCTTTGGGAAGGATGTCGATGGGAAATGCCACAGCCTCACAGCCTCCTATGTGCGGGCACAGTACCAGCATGACACCAGCCTGCCCCACTGCCGCTTCTATGAGGTGCCTGGAGGGCAGGGCTGAGGGAGGGAGGCTGGATGGGTGGCCTGGGGCAGGCAGCCTCCCTGACCCCTGGCACTCTTGTCCCAGGAATTTGATGCCCATGGGCGCGAGGTGCCCCTCCCCGCTGGCATCTACAACCTGGATGATCTGAAGGCCCTGGGGCGGCGCCAGGGCTGGTGCCCATACTTCCTTGCTCGATACTCAGTGAGAAGGCTGGTGGGGCGGGCAGAGGGGCGAGTGTGAGGGTGTGGGCTGCCCGCCCGTCTCCTGTCTGCCCATGCCTGTCTGTTGCTTGCTGTGAGTCTGCGTGTCCACATCTCCCTGTTGATGGGTGCCCATGTCTGTCGGTCTGTCGCTATCCATCTGCTCATATTTCTGCCTGGCCGGTGTCTGCCTCTGCAGGCATGTGTGGGAATGATGGGCCAGTGTGGCCAGGGGTAGGGGGGTAGGGGTTGGGGTGACAGGGCCCTGGTGACCCTGCTCCCTGGCCTCCCAGATCCTGCATGCCAACGTGGTGGTTTATAGCTACCACTACCTCCTGGACCCCAAGATTGCAGACCTGGTGTCCAAGGAACTGGCCCGCAAGGCCGTCGTGGTCTTCGACGAGGCCCACAACATTGGTGAGGGGGGCACCAGGGGCCAAAGGGACGCCAGCCCCTCTGAGGGAGGCCCCTGCAGGCCTGCCTGAGCCGGCTCTCTCCCGCTTTTCCAGACAACGTCTGCATCGACTCCATGAGCGTCAACCTCACCCGCCGGACCCTTGACCGGTGCCAGGGCAACCTGGAGACCCTGCAGAAGACGGTGCTCAGGTGGGACCGGAGACGGCTGGAGGACCCTGGTGCCTGCCCTGGCCTCTGTCTGACTTGTCCCCACGGGTGCCAGCCCCACCCCAACCCCAGCTATCTCCCCGCAGGATCAAAGAGACAGACGAGCAGCGCCTGCGGGATGAGTACCGGCGTCTGGTGGAGGGGCTGCGGGAGGCCAGCGCCGCCCGGGAGACGGACGCCCACCTGGCCAACCCTGTGCTGCCCGACGAGGTGCTGCAGGGTGAGCTCCCACCCCCCGCGGCCCCCCAGTCCCTTTCCCGCCTCCCCGTGGCGGCTGATAGCGTCTCCTCGCAGAGGCGGTGCCTGGCTCCATCCGCACGGCCGAGCACTTCCTGGGCTTCCTGCGGCGGCTGCTGGAGTACGTGAAGTGGCGGCTGCGTGTGCAGCACGTGGTGCAGGAGAGCCCACCCGCCTTCCTGAGTGGCCTGGCCCAGCGCGTGTGCATCCAGCGCAAGCCCCTCAGGTGCGGCCCCACACAGCGCGGGGATGGGGGCTCAGCAGGTCCTGGTTAGGCAGAGCCATGTCCTCCATGCTTGTAGCCCGGGATCACCATTGCCAGCCTCAGGAGTGAGTGAGCTGGGCGAGGCACGTGGGACCCTATCTGTTCTAACCTGGCAGGTCCCGAAGCAAGGTTGGAGCTGGTCCTGGGTCCCTGCGTTGGGCAGGGGCCTGGCGGGCAACACCTGGCTGGATTGGAGAGTCTACCCCACCCAAGAGAGAGTAGTGGGAGCACCATTTACAGAGGGGTGGACTAGGGGAGGAGCCAAGGAGGGTGGGAGGTGAAAGCTGGGAGCTAAGCCGGGCCACAGCGGCAGGGAGGGAGTGTGTTGAGAACCAGCTGGTGGGGGCCTGGACAGGGGCTTCTGCTGGGAGCAGAAACCAGAACCTGGGCCTCGAAGGCTAGGAGCTGGGGGAGGAGGCCGCGGCCCATGTCTCTTCCCACCAATGCCTCTAATCTTCCAAGTCTGAGGGCAGGGGCGTCCCCATGGAGCAGTCTGGGCGCATTTTGGGGGAGTCAGTCTCTTGAGGCACAGAGGAGGCAGAGAATGACCAGGGATAGGAGGGGGCTTTTCCTTTGCTGCTTTGAGTAACTCATGGGTCTTCTCTAAACTGCAGTTTTCTCCTTTGTAAAACGGCCAAGGAGTCGAATCTTTACTTCACAGGGTTCTGTGGTGGTTAATGAGAGAGCAGCGAAGCCAATCAGCTACCCTGTCGTGAGCACTAAGGAGGAGCTAAGCCCTTTATGTTCCTTACCTCAATTGCACCCCCAGTACGGCATCCCCACCCTGCACATGAGGACGCTGGGGCTCCCAGAGGGGAAGCCTTTGCCCAGAGCCGCACAGCACTGTGCCCAGTAGTTGGGGCTTGAAGCCAAGCCTATGGGCTCCAAAGGCCCTGGCTGCCCTGCCTCTGTGGGTGAGGCCACCTTCCATGTGGGTTTGCCCATCTTCCCCAGAATTGGAGACTTGTGAGGGCAAAGAGGGGATCTCAGTCACTCAACACACATTCCCCAAGTGCCTGCTCCATGCTGGGGACAGAGCCGAAGAGGCTCCATGGCCCAGTGTAGGGCACAGACTCATCCCCAGCTAGCGACCAGCCAGGGTAGGCGCCTGGGGTTAGAGGAGACAGGCTGGGAGGGCTGAAGTGTGGGAGGCAGGTTTGCAAGTGTGACTGCCCGCCTGGCTTCAAAGCCAGCTGCTCCGTGACCCGTCCCCGGGGCTGAGAACTTCAGCCCTGCCTGTGTGCGGTTGTGGCCGAGTGGCCCTGCACATGCGTGAGTGTATGGACGCAATATCCGTGGGACTCTGCGGGATGTGGGTGATGACTGCATTCCTCTGTGAGCCCATGGGGTTCCGACACTGTCTGTGTCCCCACAGGTGTGTGAGAGACAGTGGGAGAGGTTCTGGATGTGAATGCGTGACCATGTGGCCATGCAGGATTAATGCCATGACTGGGGGATTCTGGGTGTGATAGTGAGTCTCTTGTTTTGATCAGAACCCACTTAGGGCTGGGTGCAGTGGCTCCCACCTGTCATCCCAGCACTTTGGGAGGCCGAGGCAGGCAGATCACCAGGTCAGAAGTTCGAGACCAGCCTGGCCAACATAGTGAAACCCCGTCTCTCCTAAAAGTATAAAAATTAGCTGAGTGTGGTGGCGGGCATCTGGAATCCCAGCTACTCGGGAGGCTGAGGCAGGAGAATTGTTTGAACCCGGGAGGTGGAGGTTGCAGTGAGCCGAGATGGCGCCAGTGCACTCCAGCCTGGGTGACAGGGCGAGAGTCCGTCTGAAAAACAAAAAAAGAAAAAAAACCCACTTAGGAGGTCGTGCTAGCAGGTATGACAAGTGACCATATGACTCTGGGGTGTCTGATTATTGCTCTATCTGTGCCATCATGCAGCAGTGGCTGTGTGTGACATGCAGATGTATAGTGTGGGGGTGCACGTTTCCAAAACAGGCCCACTGCCGGCCCTCCCTGAGTGCCCATTGTCTGGGGAGACAGGCACGTGACCGCCGTGATGGCGGAGGCAGGGCTGCTGGTCCTGTTCATGCTTCCGTCTGCCCCCCGACCCCGTCTCTCCTCCCCACCAGATTCTGTGCTGAACGCCTGCGGTCCCTGCTGCACACCCTGGAGATCACCGACCTTGCTGACTTCTCCCCGCTCACCCTCCTTGCTAACTTTGCCACCCTTGTCAGCACCTACGCCAAAGGTAAGCTCACCTTTTTCTGTCCCTGCTGGGCCTCCTAGGAGCTGGAATCAGGGTCGCAGCAGAGTCTAGAGGGTTGTTGGCAGGAACTTGGACACACAGGGCTTTGTGGGGCTTGGCTTGGAAGTGTGGGTTTTATTTTGAAGGCAGTGGGGAGCCGTAGATAGTTCTTGAGTAAGCGTTGTGCTCAGATTTATATTTTCACAGACTTCCTCGGGCTGCAGAGTGGAGAAGGATGGCGTGGGCAGTGGTAAGGGATGAGGCCAGAGAAGCTCTATGGGGTCAGCTCACACTAGAGGGCATGGTAATGAGTTGATCATTTTGCTCCTAGGGGCACTGGAAAGCCATGGTAGGTTCTAGCAAGCAAGGTGCCAGGTCAGATTTGTGCTTTTTTTTTTTTTCTGAGACGGAGTCTCGCTCTGTTGCCAGGCTGGAGTGCAGTGGTGTGATCTCGGCTCACTGCAGCCTCCGCCTCCTGGGTTCAAGCAATTCTCCTGCCTCAGCCTCCCCAGTATCTGGGACTACAGGCGTGTGCCACTACGCCCAGCTAATTTTTGTATTTTTAATAGAGATGGGATTTCACCATGTTGGCCAGGATGGTCTTGATCTCCTGACCTCATGATCCACCCGCCTTGGCCTCCCAAAGTGCTGGGATTACAGGCATGAGTCACTGCGCCCAGCCCAGATTTGTACTTTGGAAAGACTTCTTCTGGGTGCCAGAGGTGGTAGCTCACGCCTGTAATCCCAGCACTTTGGGTTGGTGAGGCAGGCAGATGACCTGAGGTCAGGAGTTCGAGACCAGCCTGGTCAACATGGCAAAACCCCATCTTCACTAAAAATACAAAAATTAGCCGGGGCCGGACATGGTGGCTCACGCCCGTAATCCCAGCAGTTTGGGGGGCTGAGGTGGGCAGATCACTTGAGGTCAGGAGTTTGAGACCAGGCTGACCAACATGGTAAAACCCTGTCTTTACTAAAAATACAAAAATTTGCCAGGTGTGGTGGCGGGCTCCTGTAATCCCAGCTACTTGAGAGGCTGAGGCAAGAGAATTGCTTGAACCCAGGAGGCAGAGGTTACAGTGAGCCAAGATTGTGGCACTACACTCCAGCCTGGGCGACAGAGCAAGACTTGGTCTAAAAAAAAAAAAAAAAAAAAAAAAATAGGCCAGGCGTAGTGGCTCATGCCTGTAATCCCAGCACTTTGGGAGGCCGAGGTGGGTGGATCACCTGAGGTCAGGAGTTCGAGACCAGCCTGACCAATATGGTGAAACCCCGTCTCTACTAAAAATACAAAAATTAGCTGGACGTGGTGGTGCATGCCTGTAGTTCTAACTACTCAGGAGGCTGAGACAGGAGAATTGCTTGAACCCGGGAGGTGGAGGTTGTAGTGAGCTGAGATCGCACCAGCTGCACTCTAGCCTGGGCGAAAACAAGAGTCCGTCTCAAGAAGAAAGGAAGATTTCTTCTGGCAGGGACTAGAGGCAGGAGACTAGGTGGCAGGCAGGGACCTGAGCACAAGGAGAGGGGCCTTGGCCAGAATGTGGCCATGGTGAGACAGAAAGGTATGGTTTGGAGAGAGATGTGGGAGGTAGAGGCTGGGATGTGGGGAGTATGGTGTCTGGGTTTCGGGACCTGGGACAAGAGGAGTAGAGGCTGATGTTCAGATTTTCAGGTTGCGAGAGAGGGGCATCATTCTGGAGGCTTTATGGGCCAGTGTTTCCTCCCCGTCCTCAGCGTGAAGCTCACCAGGGGTTCAGTCTGCCTCCTCGGGGTTTCTCCTGTACCCAGGAAACCGGATCAGGCCTCATGTCCTGTGGCAGGGCCTGACAGGAGGATGGAGATCTGGGCCGTTGCCCCGGGGCTGGGTAGCGAGGCCTGCTGGCTGCTGCTTCTGCCTCTGTCTCTCTGTCCTGCCCCATCTTCCATCCCTGCCTTTGTCGTTCTCTATCCACTGTTTCCCATCTGCCAACACCTCATGTTCTTTCACCTGGAGCATCCTTCCTCATCTTCCTCATCCCCCAGCCACCTCCCCCTCATCCTTAGGTTCTCAGCTTAGTAGAGATGTCTCCTCCTCCAGGAAGCCCTCCCTGACCCCCAGGCTGAGTCAGGCCCCTCCTCTGGGCACCTCTGTCCCAGCACTGCCCACTCTCAGTCATCCCTGTCTGAGGGCAAGTCTGTCTCCTGCTGGACTGCGAACCCATGCAAGCAGCGGCAAGGCTGGCTTGGTCACCACTGTGTCCCCAGCACAGACGACTTGATTTTTTTTTCACTGCGTGAAACTGAATATATAAATTCATTCATTCATTTATTTCTTCAACAAACGGGCCAGGCTCAGCACTGTGGAAGCAGCAGGAACCAAAAAAGATCTCATTCCTAACCCCCCAGAACTTATATTCCAGAGGGGGAAAACCAGTAGCAAAGATGCAGTCAAATAAACAAGGAAATAATTCCAGAAAGTGGCAGTTATCATGAAAAAAAAATACGTTGTTGCGTTGGAATATGTCTGCATAGAAAAGGTGGCTGGGAAGGGCCTTTCGGAGGGGCTGACTTTTGAGCAGTCTCAGATGACCAAATGGAGCCACCTTGGGAGGTTTTCCAGGCCACATGGGACCAGCAAGTGTAAACACCCTGGGGGAACTGAGCCTGCTGAGTTTTGAAGGTCAGGCACCAGGCCACTGGAGGCGTGTGGGGTGATGGGAGGCTTCTGGGGGGGCGGAGGTGATATGGCCGGGCTCAGGTTTCCATAGGGTCCCTCTGGCTGCCGTGAAGTGAGCAGGGGATGATGGGTCCAGGCAGGAGGTGATGGTGGCTGGCCCCAGGTGGGGTCAGGGGCAGTGGTCAGATTGCAGGTAGGTTTTGGAGGCAGAGCTGCCTGGTTTTGCTGATGGCTTAGGTAGAAAGGTTGTGGGAGGCCAGGCGCAGTGACTCATACTTATAATTTTGGGACTTTGGGGACCTGAGGCGGGCGGATCACTGGAGGTCCCCCATCTCTACTAAAAATACAAAAATTAGGCCGGGCGCGGTGGCTCAAGCCTGTAATCCCAGCACTTTGGGAGGCCGAGATGGGCGGATCACGAGGTCAGGAGATCGAGACCATCCTGGCTAACACAGTGAAACCCCGTCTCTACTAAAAAAAATACAAAAAACTAGCCGGGCGAGATGGCGAGCGCCTGTAGTCCCAGCTACTCGGGAGGCTGAGGCAGGAGAATGGCGTAAACCCGGGAGGCGGAGCTTGCAGTGAGCTGAGATCCGGCCACTGCACTCCAGCCTGGGTGACAGAGCGAGACTCCATCTCAAAAAAAAAAAAAAAAAAAAATTTTTTTTTGGGTGTGTTGTAGAGGGGTGTACCTGTAATCCCAGCTATTTTTTTTTATGAGGCAGGATAATCAATCACTTGAACCCGGGAGGCATTTTTTTTTGTGAACCGAGATCGCGCCACTGCACTCTAGCCTGGGCGACAGAGCGGGACTCCATGTCAAAAAACAGAAACAAGAAAAGGTCCTGTTTTTTTTTTTCAGGCTCTGGCTCCTGGCTTTGGCGTGGGTGCTGCATTTTTTTTTAGTACTGGGAGAGTGAGCAGTGGGCGGGGCTGTGGCGCTCTCTACTTGGGATCCTTCGTGAAAGTTTGCACAGGTGTGGGCCCTGTTTTTTTTTAGAAAGACTGGGGTGTATTTTGGACTCAGATGCCTGGTTTTTTTTTTAAGCAGCTCATGTTTGGTCCCATTCACTCCCGGGCAGTTTTTTTTTTAGACTGGGGTGAAGCAAGGGAGCGGGAGAGGGAATGGCTGAGTGGGTGCAGCTGTGGCTGTAGTGGGGTAATCTCACCTGTCCTTTTTTTTTTTCTGCAGGCTTCACCATCATCATCGAGCCCTTTGACGACTTTTTTTTTACCATTGCCAACCCCATCCTGCACTTCAGGTGGGACCCTTTTTTTTTGGGGTGTGACTGCACTGTGGGTCAGGGGCCCAGCCCCCTTTTTTTTTACCACCCTCATCTCTCTCCAGCTGCATGGACGCCTCGCTTTTTTTTTAACCTGTATTCGAGCGCTTCCAGTCTGTCATCATCACGTCTGGGGTGAGGACCCTTCTCCTGTTCCTCCCAGTCCCTGGCCTCCTTTTTTTTTTCTCCTGGTCCCTGCCCAGTCCTGCTGAGATCCCTCCCATTTTTTTTTCTACAGACACTGTCCCCGCTGGACATCTACCCCAAGATCCTGGACTTCCACCCCGTCACCATGGCAACCTTCACCATGACGCTGGTTTTTTTTTGCCTCTGCCCTATGGTGAGTGGGAGAGGCTAGGGCTGGTTTTTTTTTGGGAGGTGGGAGCAAGGGGCTGCGTCCCTTCCTTGGCTTTTTTTTTTGCTCAGGCAGGAGAGTTTTACAGTGAAGAGGCCGGGTTTTTTTTTTTGACAGACTTAGGCTTGATTCTGCTTCTCCGGGGGTGCATTTTTTTTTCCTCAGATTTCTTATCTGTGAAATGGGAATGTATCTTCTTTTTTTTTCCAGGGCGGTTGAGAGGATTGAGAGAGAACTGGAGTAATTTTTTTTTGTAGCCCAGGGTCTGGCACAGGTAGGCGCTTACTCAGCATCTTGGTTTACGTGGCTTTGCCGGGTACATGGTCTGGCTGTGACCCAGGTAAGTGGGCCTTCCTGTCCATCTCCATCTCTGTAACATGTGCATTTTTTTTTTGGCCCTCAGTCCCTTATCTGAAGTCCCGAGGCCGGTTTTTTTTTTTTAGATGGACTCTTGCTCTGTTGCCCAGGCTGGAGTGCAATTTTTTTTTTCTCAGCTCACTGCAACCTCTGCCTCCTGGATTCAAGTTTTTTTTTTGCTTCAGCCTCCTGAGTAGCTGGGATTACAGGCGTGTGTTTTTTTTTCCGGCTAAATTTTGTCCTTTTAGTAGAGACAGGGTTTCTTTTTTTTTGCCAGGCTGGTCTCAAGTGATCTGCCCACCTGGTCCTCCCAAAGTGCTGGGATTACAGGTGTGAGCCACTGCGCACAGCCATTTGTTTTTTTTTTCAGAATTTTCCAGCCTTTAGAGACAAGGCATATGCTGTTTTTTTTTTGACGCCCCCAGTGGGGTCTGGGTGGCTCCCCCGAGTCTTTTTTTTTTTTTGGCAGTAAAAGATTTGGAAGCATCACATTAAGGATTTTTTTTTGCCTCTGCAGAGACTCAGGGCAGGGCAGGTTTTGCTACTTTTTTTTTTTGTGCCAAACTGAAAAAGAAATGTGTTCAGAGCTTTTTTTTTTTTTAGTTGCCTGTCAGAGGTTGTGGACCAGTGATGACCACCTTTTTTTTTGTGGTTGTGTGAGGTTGCTGGCTGGCGGGGATGCCCACCGGCATAGTGAGGGGTGTTCTTCGGGATCCGGCTGGCCTGGGGCCTGTTTTTTTTTAGAGTGTAGCTGCTGGTGGAGAGTGTGGACAGACTCGGTTTTTTTTTCATCTTTGCCACCTATTCACTGTGTGACCTTGGGCAGGTTTTTTTTTTTTTCTGAGGCCAGGTCATTTGTGCAATGCAGATAACATTTTTTTTTAGGGTTCATTCAGTGACACTGTGTTAATGAAAAGTTTATTTTTTTTTGGATGTGGTGGCTCACTCCTGTAATCCCGCCACTTTGGTTTTTTTTTGTGGGACGGTCACTTGAGGCCAGATGTTCAACACCAGACTGGGCAACATGGTGACGCCCGGTCTCTATTTAAAAAAAAAAAAAAATTTTTTTTTACAGCACCAGCAGGTGGTCAGCACTCACACGCTGGAGCAGTTGCTGCTGCCTCGCTTATCATGACCTCTGTTGCTCTCTTCAGATTTTTTTTTTTGGCAATGACCAGGTGGCCATCAGCTCCAAATTTGAGATTTTTTTTTATATTGGTATGCTGCCAGTGGGGCTGGTTTCTGTGGGTTTTTTTTTTGAGGTGTATCAGTCAGATGGGCTGAGTCACGCTGCTGTTTTTTTTTTCCCTGGCCTTAGTTGCTTAGCCCAGAGCTTCCTTCTTGTTTTTTTTTTACATCCACTGTGAGCTGGTAGGGGGCCTGCCCTGTGTCTCCTCACCTGGGAACCTCCACAGCTGGGTGCGTCAGAGGCAGCGTGTTTTTTTTTGTGGGATCACAGTGGTCACAGTGAATTGTGCACTGGTTTTTTTTTTTGCTCCCCTGGAAGTGACACATGGCCTTTTTTTGAGACATTTTTTTTTTCTGTTACCTAGGCTGGAGTGCAGTGGCATGATCTCGGTTTTTTTTTACCTTTGCCTTGCGGGTTCAAGCAGTTCTCGTGCCTCATTTTTTTTTGTAGCTGGGATTATAGGCATCTGCCACCACGCCAGGCTTTTTTTTTTATTTTTAATAGAGATGGGGTTTTGCCATGTTGGCCAGGTTTTTTTTTAACTCCTGACCTCAGATGATCCACCCACCTCGACCTCCCAAAGTGCTGGGATTACAGGCGTGAGCCGCCACGCCTGACCCCTGCTTTTTTTTTTTCATTGGCCATGGCAAATTACATAGCCAGGTGTGACTTCAGGAAGTGACAAGGAGGGTCCTCAAACACGCCTGGGAGGAGGAGGATTTTTTTTTGTGTGAATAGCCTGCCAGCCAGCCTCAGTGGGGTTTCCTTTTTTTTTTAGTTTGAAGACAGAGAAGGGAGGAGGACCTGAGCCAGGAGAGGGCCTAACCTCTGACCCCTCGCAGCTGTGATCCGGAACTACGTTTTTTTTTTGCTGGAGATGTCTGCTGTGGTCCCTGATGGCATTGTGGCCTTCTTCACCAGCTACCAGTACATGGAGAGCACCGTGGCCTCCTGTTTTTTTTTGGTATGCCTGGCCACCCCTCCCTGCACCTGCTCTCCTCTTTTTTTTTCACTGCAGGAGGGGAGTCACCTGCTCTCCTCAGCTCCTTTTTTTTTTCTGCTATGTCAGCTTCATTTTTCTTACCCTCTGATGGTGACAGGTGTCCTGTGTGACAGGAGAGTGCGTGCAGCGTGTAGGAATGTTTTTTTTTCAGCCCATTGCCCCACCCCCAGTACATCAGGCTGAGAATTTTTTTTTAAGCCCCAGTGTGGGCCCCTCCCTCAGAGGAGTACCCTGTGGTGGAGTCACCCCCACCTTCTAGGTTCCTTGCTCCCCCGCTGCTTTTTTTTTTTACCCCATCCCTGTGATCCTCCAGCACAGATGGCCTGGTTTTTTTTTCCAGGTAGCAGGTGTGACTCTATCTAGGTTAGAGGAAGTTTTTTTTTAATCAAGGCTGGACTGAGACTCAGGGCAAAGCCTCTCATTTTTTTTTAGGAGCCCCTTCAAGGAAGCAGGCAGAGGAGGTCATGGTTTTTTTTTGAAACAGGGCTCACCACAGCCAGGCCCTGGGTGGGAGGTTTTTTTTTTCCTCACTTTGTGCCCCTGAGCACACCATGGCCAGGCTTTTTTTTTTGGGTAAAAGCACTTTGGGGTGAGGTGAGTGAACTTGGCTTTTTTTTTTATTGGAATGGCACTCATGGGAGGCAGGAGCCTCATCCTTTTTTTTTGGACCTTGGCCTTGTGCTTCAATAGGTGGCTTCCACACGGCGGAAAGGTGATCCAGTCCCCACAGCCCAGGTGCCTTTTGTGTCCTTTTTTTTTCAACTTTGTCTTAAATACCCCAAGGTCATGAAGAGAGGTTTTTTTTTTTCCTTTTAGAAGCTTGTGGTTTTAGCTTTCACATCTATTTTTTTTTGGTACCTCAAATTCATCTTTCTATATGGTGTAAGGTAGTTTTTTTTTGTTCATTTTTTGGTTCCATTTGGAAATCCACTTGCTCCAGTAAAAGCTGTCCCCTGAACTGCACAGGTGGCTGTGTGCTTCTGGATTTTTTTTTTTGTCCCACTGGTCTGTGTCCTTGCACTGGCTCCACACTTTTTTTTTGGTAGTGTCATATGGGAAGTCTCAGGGCAGCCTCTGATTTTTTTTTTCTGCCTCACAGTCAGCCCCTCCACCAGTTGCTGGCAGGGGATGGGGTGCCCTGATTGGCCACCCCCTTGGGCCACATGCCTGCCCTTTTTTTTTAGCAGTGATTGGTTCCCCACCCAGATCACTAAGTTCCCTTTTTTTTTGTAAGGTTGGACAATTCCACCCTCCCTCCCCACATCTCTTTTTTTTTAGCTGAGGCCCAGAGAAATAGTGACGTAGGAGAGTTGGAGATAACCAGGATGGCCGTGCCCTGAACCCACCTTCTGCCACCCCACTTTTTTTTTCCTGGGTCCTTCCCCAGGGGATCCTTGAGAACATCCAGTTTTTTTTTCTGCTCTTTATTGAGACCCAGGATGGTGCCGAAACCAGTTTTTTTTTGGAGAAGTACCAGGAGGTGGGTGTGTGAGGCCAGCGTGTTTTTTTTTGGGAGGTGGCTCCGAGGAGTGACCCAACTTGCATCTTGCCTCCCCACCTCAGGCCTGCGAGAACGGACGCGGGGCCATCCTGCTGTCAGTGGCCCGGGGCAAAGTGTCTGAGGGAATCGACTTCGGTGAGTGTTTTTTTTTTTCCTCCCCAGGTGTCTTCCCAGAGCTCTCTGGAACACTTTTTTTTTCTGCTGTCTGCTCCCGCGGGGGACCACCCACCCACAGCTTTTTTTTTCAGAGGGACCCTCCCCTCTGGCCCTAGGCACCCGGCGGTTTTTTTTTCTCTCTCTCCCACTCAGACACAGCATCCTGGGGTGCGTTTTTTTTTTCCTGTCCCACCAGCCACACTTGTAACTCCCCTCGACCCTTTTTTTTTGCCCACCAGTGCACCACTACGGGCGGGCCGTCATCATGTTTTTTTTTCCCTACGTCTACACACAGAGTCGCATTCTCAAGGTGAGTAGCTCTGGCTCCCAGAAGTCCCAAAGTGTTAGGGCCAGGGGAGGGATTTTTTTTTCAACTCCCCCCCTCCCCACCTCCTCGTCCTTCGTTTCTTTTTTTTTTGCTGGAATACCTGCGGGACCAGTTCCAGATTCGTGAGAATGACTTTCTCACCTTCGATGCCATGCGCCACGCGGCCCAGTGTGTGTTTTTTTTTATCCGGGGCAAGACGGACTACGGCCTCATGGTCTTCGCTTTTTTTTTGCAGGTTCAGGGGTACCCCTGTGCTCGCACCCCAGCCTTTTTTTTTTAGGCTATTTGCCCGTTCATCTCCCAGATGGGGTGTGTCACAGGGTGGAGGGTGGCCCAGGCTCCCTGACTCGGGTCCTGACGTTCTTTTTTTTTCCTGCGCTTCTGCCCACAGCGGTTTGCCCGTGGGGACATTTTTTTTTAACTGCCCCGCTGGATCCAGGAGCACCTCACAGATGCCAACCTCAACCTGACTGTGGATGAGGGTGTCCAGGTGGCCAAGTACTTCCTGCGGCAGATGGCACAGCCCTTCCACCGGGTGAGGCCTGCATCCCTTTTTTTTTATCCTCCCAGGCTGAGCTCCTCCTCCAGAAAGGCCCCTTTTTTTTTTCCCACTCCCCAACCCCAGCCTGTCCTCCTGCCCTCTGCTTTTTTTTTTTTATTGTGCATCTGCATGCCAGGCTCTGAGGGGTAGGTTTTTTTTTGAGGGGCCACAGATGGCCCAGGCAAGGCAGGGTGAGAGAATTCGGGGTAAGGAGGTATCAGGCATTGAGACTGTGCTGGCCTGGGTTTTTTTTTTCCTTCTCCGACTCCCTGGCTGGTTCTTCCCTCAGCCCTTTTTTTTTTGGACAGGAATGGCCCACTCTGGATTATACTGACATCTTTTTTTTTTAACATCCTGGCCCTCATGTCTTAGACCCCTAATGCCCATCGGGGGCGGGTGGTCGGGGAAGTACAGCAGCTGCCTGGGCCCCTTCTTTTTTTTTCCCCCCTTACTTTCCTCTGTTCTCTGCAGGAGGATCAGTTTTTTTTTTCCTTGCTCAGCCTGGAGCAGCTGGAATCAGAGGAGACTTTTTTTTTGATAGAGCAGATTGCTCAAAGCTGCTGAGCAGGGTGGATTTTTTTTTAAATGATTCCTAGTGACTCCTGAGTCTTGCCTGGCCCTTTTTTTTTTCAGCTCCGAGGCCGCAGCAGGGGTGGTGCTGGAAGGTCTTTTTTTTTCAGGTGACATTCCTCACTGTCACATCTATAGCCTTTAATTTTTTTTTAGGGCAGGGGGCATCTAAGAGATGATAGACCCCCACGCTTTTTTTTTGAAGCTGAGGCCAACACAGGTCACTGGATGTTAGCGGGGACTCAGGTCCTGGGTGCTGGCGCTGAGGGTCCGAGGGGCCTTGTCCAGGTGCCAGCTGGGGAACTGGAGACAGGCACAAGGGATGGTTGGAGGGGAGGTGAGGGGCAGGTGCTGCGTCCAGCCTGACAGCCAACCGTCTATTTTTTTTTCCTCTACCCCAAGTAAAACCCATCTTTTCTCCTGTCCTGGGTCTCTTTTAACACATCCACCACCTGCTGACTCTGACGCCGGCCTTTTTTTTTTGCTTTTGCCTTATCTCTGCCCCTACCCATGTGGCCCCATTTTTTTTTTGACCCCGGTGTCCCCTCACCTGAGTCCCAGGAGCCCTTTTTTTTTTCACATTCAGTGTGTTGAGCGACATGGCTCTCTTCATTCTTTTTTTTTGGCAGCAGGGAAGAAGCGAGTGAATCCAGGAGTGGCCCTTTTTTTTTGGAGCTTTCCAGCACAGGATTTGATCTGTGTGTATCACTTTTTTTTTGGGAGCCATGGAAGGTTCTTGAGCAGGAGGGGTGGGGGTTTTTTTTTGAATTCTGCTGATGGCAGGGCTCTTTGCCGACCTGATCTTTTTTTTTCCGGCCGCCCCCGCCGCCCCCTCGCCTCGGAGACGGGAGACCAGCTTCTCACTTCCTCGCCGGATAGACTCGCGGATCTTAGAGATTTTTTTTTTGCGGCGAAGGGCCTGGGGAGGGGCAGGGATGCTGCTCTTTTTTTTTAGCCCATGCAGTCCCCACGCCTTCCCCAGGAGCCGAAGTTTTTTTTTTCCTCACCTGTTCTGTGTCACCAGCTGTGCCTGTGTTGTTTTTTTTTAGGGGAAAGGTGGGGGACACTGAGATGGGGACGTAGAGTTTTTTTTTGGAGGGAAGGCAGGGGCTCGGGGCTCACCGAGAGGCGCTTTTTTTTTCTCCTTGTGGAGGATTTCTTTGTACAGCTCTTCCGCTTTTTTTTTTTTGTTCTGTTTCAGGTAGGCTGAGGCCTGCGGAGAAGGGTTTTTTTTTGGTGATCTTGGCTCTAGTCTGGGAACTTTTCGGACCCCTTTTTTTTTCACTGCATCCAGTCCCACTTTTTTTTTTTGTAGAGACAGGGTCTTGGTATGTTGCCCAGGCTGGTCGTGAACTCCTGGCCTCAACTTTTTTTTTTGCCTTGGCCTCCCAAAGTGCTGGGGTTACAGGCGTGATTTTTTTTTCCTGGCCCCAGTCCCACTTTCTACTGTGCTGACCTGGCCGTATCCCACCCCTGCCTAAAGCCTTGCCCTGGGGCAGAGTGGGTTTTTTTTTTTTCCCTGCCTCCTGCCTGGGGGATGGAGGACAGAAAACCTTTTTTTTTTGAGCCTGTCTGCTCTACGTTGGGCTGGTGGCATGGCCTTTTTTTTTTCATGCAAAGTAGAGCGACAGCTTCTACCTCATAGGGACTTTTTTTTTACTAGTGATGTGGGGACCGAGCTAAGAGGGGAGCTGGCCACAGTGAGCTCAATAAATGTCTGCTGCTGCCATCTGTGCCTGCCAGTTTTTTTTTCACTGACTGTCCTGGGTGCCGTGGACTCACGCATTTCCTTTTTTTTTGTTCTGTGCTGAGCCAGCTCCTGTGTCTGATGGGATACTTGCTCCAAGGGCCCTGCCTCAGGGGGACCCCTCCCCATGGTGCTCGTTTTTTTTTCAACCAATGGGTGCCTCCCCAGGGCAGACCCTCCACTCTTTTTTTTTTCAGCCCCAGGGGCCTCACCAGGTTGTTCTTGGTCTTGTTTTTTTTTGGGTCATGGGGCCCGCCCAGTGCCTCATAGATGCTCAGTTTTTTTTTGTAGTGCCGCTCCACATCCTCAAACTTGCCCTGGTTCTGGCACAGCAGGGCCAGGTTGTTGAGCTGCTTGGCCACATCGGGGTGGTTTTTTTTTAGGACCTGGGGGCCAGGGGGCACAAGTCAGAGGGGTCATTTTTTTTTGGTGGGACACATGACATCACTTCTGTATGGTGGTCACATTTTTTTTTTTACAGGGCCAAAGCAGAGTGACCTGAGAGGTTGGGGGCTGGGGCACAAGTAACACCATCGAGCGGGATTACTGAGGTCAGAGGCTTTTTTTTTCCAGAAACTCGCGGGGCACAAGGTGAGATGGGTAGGTCTTTTTTTTTCTTGTGCCAGTGGCCATGAGGGGTTGGAAAGGCTGTGGTTTTTTTTTGTTGGGGGGTGGCGTGTGAGGTAAGGCGAGAGGTCAGATTTTTTTTTAAGACCACACTGGGATCTCAGAAGGTTGAGGGTGATGGGTTGGGCTCCAGTTGGGGTCTCCCAGTACCAAACGCAAGGGGCCCGATTTTTTTTTTCACGATGTAAGTGCCCAGGATCCATGGAGAGGGCTACTTTTTTTTTCTCGGGGTTGGGTAAGGGGGATGGGACCTTCTCTCGGATTTTTTTTTCGCGCTGGCACAGGGGCTCTGCCTCCCGGTAACGCCCGTTTTTTTTTTAGAGGACGGCCAAGTTGTTGAGCGTGGCAGCCACCTGTGGGGTTGGGGGAGACACAGGTCAGGGATGGGCAGGCACAGCCCCACTTTTTTTTTCTGGGGCCCCACTCACCGCAGGGTGCTCAGGGCCCAGCTTTTTTTTTCGGATCTGCAGGGCATCATGGAGGAGGTCTGTGGCTTCTTTTTTTTTGTTCTGGTCCCTGTGTGGAAGCCCAGGGATGGCGGGGGTTTTTTTTTGGTTGGGGCAGCTGCAGCCACAGGGGCTGGGCTGATTCTTTTTTTTTCAGGGAACCTGGCTGAACCAAGCATGGGTAGCACCCTTTTTTTTTTTTTTATGGGCCCTTCCATACCTTCCAATTCTCTAACACCTTTTTTTTTATCCCCAGACCTCTGCCAAGCCTCTAACCACCCCAGTTTTTTTTTTTGCTCTGTTGGGGTCCCTGGTGTCTGTGCTCTGACTCCTCTCTGCCTGGCTCAGTGCCCCGCCAACCCGCCAGATCCCTGGCCCACTCCCTCTTTGCCGTTCTTACAGCAGGAGCCTTCCCTTCCTTTCCCATTTTTTTTTTCCCCTCCTCCGACCTCCCCAGGTGCTCCATGGTGGCAGAGGGGGCACCAGGGTCCCTCCACTTGCACCCAATGGGTCCCTGCCGTTTTTTTTTTCTGCCATGGCCGGCCGCAGCTCTCACCGGTACACCAGCTTTTTTTTTTTGAGCATGGTGGCCACGTCAGGGTGGCAGTGGCCCGATTTTTTTTTCAGGTCCTCCAAGGCCTGGCGGCACAGGGGCACCGCCACCTCATACCGGCCCTGCCCCGCGTACTGGATCACGAGGTTATGCAGGTTTTTTTTTCGGGCAGGGATCTCATAGCCACCCTGCTGAGCTGCTGCTTTTTTTTTGGCCTCAGGACCTGGGTGGGGCAGGGTGGGCTCTGGGTTTTTTTTTTCCTCCTAAGCCTCCTGCCCCTCCATCCTCGCACAAGGATTTTTTTTTCCCAGACTGCCTAACTGGCCCCTGGGACTATGGGCCCCTTTTTTTTTTTCTGAGATTGGAGTCACTAGCATCTAACCAGCTGGTGTTTTTTTTTCTGGCCTCGGGACAGGTACATGGCGGCCCACCTGCCCTGCAAGATGTGAATACGGGGCCTGCCGGGCTCATGGCAGCTACCCTGTTTTTTTTTTTCCCAGCCTCACCTGTTCACTGTCACATTCAGGGTCCTCCTGACCCTGCCCTCACCTCCCCATCCCTGTTCAGAGACTTTGGGGTTTTTTTTTTCACGGTGGCTCAAGCCTGTAATCCCAGCACTTTGGGAGTTTTTTTTTGGCGGATCACGAGGTCAGGAGATCGAGACCATCCTGGCTTTTTTTTTGAAACCCCGTCTCTACTAAAAAATACAAAAAACTAGCCTTTTTTTTTGGGGGGCGCCTGTAGTCCCAGCTACTCCGGAGGCTGAGTTTTTTTTTTGGCGTGAACCCGGGAGGCGGAGCTTGCAGTGAGCTGATTTTTTTTTACTGCACTCCAGCCTGGGCGGCAGAGCGAGACTCCGTCTTTTTTTTTAAAAAAAAAAAAAAGAGACTTTGGGGTCCTGTAGCTCATTTTTTTTTCCCCACCCTGGCCCGCCGTCATCTGTGGCATGTACTCCTTTTTTTTTCCTTTCCTCTCCTCCTCCTCGCTGGGGAACAAGGAGGCTTTTTTTTTTCGGCGAGGCGGGGACTCAGACTGCTGCAGGGACAGGATTTTTTTTTGCCGGGGGAGTGGGGGCTTGTTTCAGAGACTGGAGCCCTTTTTTTTTCTCGGGGTTTGAGGGAGGTGGTGATCATGAGCGTCAGGGGCCCCCTGGGGGACTGGCGAGGCCCGGGGGCTTCGGGGAGCAGCTATTTTTTTTTTCTGCGGAAGTTCTGGTGGGTCTGGGGGCTCTGTGGAGTTTTTTTTTACTGGGATTCTAAGGAGGGACTATGGGATTCTAAGGAGTTTTTTTTTAACTGTGGGGCTCTGTGAAGGGCCCAGCACCCCCACCTTTTTTTTTTCGTGGCACCTGGGTCTCCGTGGGCGGGTCGTACTGTCGTTTTTTTTTCAGGAACTCCAGGTGGCGCTTTTCCTCCTCCAACTGGGTTTTTTTTTCCTCGCTGGCCCGAAGCCGCCGCTGTGTCTCCTCCAGTTCCTCCCGCAGCCACACGTTCTCCTGGGCCAGCCGCCGGGCCTGCGATTTTTTTTTCTGCTTCTCTGCCTCCAGTGCACCCACGTGTGCCGACATTTTTTTTTGCACCTGCCCAGGGTGGGGGTCCCAAGTCGAGGTTGGTTTTTTTTTTGCCAGACAGCCTCTGACCCAGCCCAGACCTCGAATCAGTTTTTTTTTCCCCACTACTATGCACGACACCCCCAGATTCTGCAGAGTTTTTTTTTGCGTGGCTCCAGTGCCCTCAGAGGCTCTAAGCAGCCCCTTTTTTTTTACCCCCAAAGTTACCCTAGGACCCACAGTTTACTGAAGTTTTTTTTTTGGTTCAGGGGTCCCTGTCACATACAAGGACCCCCTAGAACTGCCAAGGGACTCCATCTCTGGCCTGGAGCCTCACCTTCCCAGGTTTTTTTTTCCTAGGCTTCCGCCTGCCCCAGATGTGCCTTTCTGCCATTTTTTTTTTTGCTGTTTTTTGAAACAGTCTCTGTCACACAGACTGGTTTTTTTTTGCACGATCTCCACTCACTGCAACCTCCACCTCCCAGTTTCAAGTGATACTCATGCCTCAGCCTCCCGAGTAGCTGGGATTACAGGTTTTTTTTTGCCCAGCTCATTTTTGTATTTTTAGTAGAGATGGGGTTTTTTTTTTTTGGTCAGGCTGGTCTGCCCACCTCAGCCTCCCAAAGTGTTTTTTTTTGCAATAGTGAACCCCTCTCCCAGTCCCCTGCATACCTGTTTTTTTTTTATCTGGCCCTCCCTCCGCCCTCAGTTTATCCTCTCCCTTTTTTTTTCCTGGCCCCCTCATACCTGGGCCTCGCCCAGCCCCAGCTCGATGGCCTCCAGCGAGTGGCTCACCACCTGCTGCTTTTCCTCCAGTTTTTTTTTGCCAGTCGCTGGGCCCTGTCCCACCAGGGCCTCTGCCATTTTTTTTTCCAGGCCACGGTGCTCTGCCCGCAGCGCCTCCAGCCCCTTTTTTTTTTGCCGCGTCTGCCGTACCAGCTCCTCAGGGCTCAGGCGTTTTTTTTTCAGCCCCGCACTTCCGGGAGCCGCCACCTGCACAGACATTTTTTTTTCTGGGGTGCAATGGTGAGGGGTTTGGGAAATCATTGCCTTTTTTTTTCAGTTGGCCCCCAACCTCTATTCCCATAATGGCCATCAGGACCCCTAACTTCTCCCCACCTTGGCTCTTCCCTGCTCCACCCATCTTTTTTTTTCCTCTGCCTCCACACCGTCTCCATCCCAGTCTCCACACTTTTTTTTTCCAGCTCTCATCTGAACAGTCTAGTCTACCTTCGTCTGTCCTCCCAACCCAGGGTTCTGCCCGGAGGACAGTTCCCAAATCCTATTTTTTTTTTACCAAGAGAGGGCAAACAGCTAGCCTGGGGTCCCCCATTTTTTTTTTGCTCACCTGGCCAGCCTTCCCCACCCCAAGGCCCCTGGTTTTTTTTTCCCAGAGCTCCCGACCTGGGACCAGAGGCACCCTCCTCTTTTTTTTTAGTGGGGCGGGGTGTGTGGAGGCGGCAGCCTCTGCGTGTTTTTTTTTTTAGGGTGTTTTTGTTGGGAACCAGTCAGACCACTGGGTTTTTTTTTGGTGGGTGGGGTGGGAGGAGAGGGCTGAGGGGCCAGGGTTTTTTTTTGCGGAAGCCCAGGAGGCCTCTAGGCTGGGGGGAGTGAGTTTTTTTTTATGTGTTGGCTCCCAGGCAGCAGATGGACCCTGGGGGATTTTTTTTTCTGCCCTCCTCCAACAGACAGGCTCAGCCAGCCCAGGGTTTTTTTTTACACACGTGTGATAGGTGTGGTCCAGGGATGTCACACTTTTTTTTTTACAGCTGAGAATCTGAAGCCCAGCTCATAGTGGGCGGGTTTTTTTTTTCTATGGGACTTCATGTGGTTGTATGTGGGTGACAAAGTTTTTTTTTCTTAGCTGGTGGTGACCCTGGGGTCCTCACAGACACACTTTTTTTTTCCTCAGAAACACACCTCACACACCCGCACCCTCCCTTCTTTTTTTTTTTTTTT